AACCTAAAATTCTGGTTTGCAAGATTAATGGAAGTTATGACTGCCTGAACATAGGCTACTTCTATTTATATCAATTATGGCGACTGTAAAATATGAACTCCAAACAGATTCAGATTACCATTGATATCTATGCATACTTTATCTGTGTTACTTACCAACATTTTAAAGGTTGCATCATATTCTGAAGACTATTATGAAACCTGAATATCTACAGAATGCAAGATTAATACAAAAACTACAGCAAAAATATCTGCATGCCAGCCACGTCCAAGACATTTAGTTTAGCCAACTCTCTAACTTAGCACTCTATAGTCTATAGTCTGTGTCAGTTCTTTCCAATACTTACTATCAAAGTCCTGTTACAAGGAGGTTTGCAGTTATGAATGATAAGAAGAAAGCCTACACAAAGTATAATCTGCTTCATAGTATACAGATGATGGGGAAATATCTTTCTCTTGTTTTTGTTTTAGCTTGACATCAGCATTACAAACAACCACAAACACCAATCAAGTTCACCCTGAGTAAAACAGTTTTCCTGCTTCTAAAATATGTATTTTAAAATGCAAAAGATTATTAACTCAGGGACAAGGCATGCAAATGGCACAAGTATCGTGAATATCCAAAAATAAAGTACATAAATTTGGCATAAGATGGTCTACACTTAGAGATACATATTGTCTCCTATCACTGCATCTGGCTACCAAATCTCTAAGAATAGAGATATCTGTAACCAACAGGAGGAAGCTCCAACAATCTTGAAAAAGAGTAACAAAAATTCTGCTAAATTGAAAGGTTCACCAAAAAAAAACCCAAACACATACAGTGATCAATTCTAGACACAGGAAACACAATTAGTTTAAGGGCAGAATATTTCAGTATATGTGAAAGAAAAACTAATTCATAATGTGTAGAGATACAGAACACTTATAAATCCCTAAAACAAACAAATTTGGGGTTAAAAAAAAAAGAAAACAAAACAGGGAAATCCAACAAATGTTTACCATACTAACACTACTAAGAAGCCTTCAAAAAAAATTTCTCCAGCTATTTCACCTGCCAAAGATACAGGAATGAAACAAGATAAACTCTTAATCTGCAGCCTAAATCAGGGCAAACACTTCCATTTTGATCTCCAGCTGTTTCGACACACAAATTTCTTAATTTCTTCCCAAATGTTTTGCTTCCCTTTTGGCAGAGGAGAGAGAAATGACATCTACCAGCAGCTAAAAATACTTCAGAGTTTTTAAAACAGGGATGAGATACAACTGTGCTTTTCCAGTTAAAAAAAAAACACCCCAGTGCCATACTTCAACAGCTTTTCTAACAGGCTGGCTTCTGAACAGTTAGTTCTAAATAACAGCAAGTGTGAAGTAAACCACTCGCAGGTTAAAGTTGAACAAGTAGGTTGGGTGTAGCTTCAGGTTATTTTCATTATTACCTCTAAAGGCAGGCTAAATTCTCAGCAGAGAATATAAGTGCTATAGCAGTTCTGCTACAGAGCTAAGGCTCAAGATGCCTCAATTTAACTCTTAGTCGAGTCACTGATTTTCTTATATTACAAGTATTCTGTATGTGAATCTTTCACATGGAGAACTTAATACTCACCCTCTGCCTCTATTTGTGCTTTTAGGAGACTAAGCAGATACAATCTATGATCTGTAGCACTCCTTGTACAGGAAGCTGCTGAAGTCAACGTACAGTTGTGTACAATACTGGAGACATGTATTTGTAATCTGATCCTATTAATGATCTTCATATTCTGAATGGCTTTAAGATTAGAAAACTAAAATGCACCTGACAGAAACAACTTCTCCTCACCTGTACTGTAAGTTAGTACCTTTCTGCTACTGAGGTAATTAACAAAACTTACTACCATAACACACTGGACACACAGAGCGTGGTTAGTAACTCATGCTGGTAGTGCAATTCACGTGATAAAGATCCTGTAGCTCAGTATCCTATGCAATGAATAAAATAAAAAGAAGTTGAAGTAATACCACACGTTCAAAAATTTTAATTGGACCCACACATGAATCAGGAAGAAATTAATACATCTCTGAATTGAAAAGGTCAAGAAGTGCTATATACTATACAACCTGTATCAGATTCAAGCTCAGTCACAGGACAGTGTCAAGTACACACCAACTAAAGACAGGCCTGCAAGAACAGACTGCAACACTTCTTGCTCCTTCTTCACTGAAAGCAGTTAAGAAAGCTCTGGAAGACAGTGCTATGGGAGGGCTCAAAAGAACAAAGAGTACACCAAAATGTAACTGTCCATGCAGGAAGTTTAATCAAAACGGAAAGACTTGCAAAGGCATAAGAGCTAATTCACTGTCCAGATGACACTGACAGAGTGACTGAAACACTCGGCTACCATCAGCTCTTCTGGGATTCTTCACCAAAGTACCTGCTCTAGTTTGGTTTTCAGAAATCTCACCCTGCTGATCGCTGTATATAAGAAACTTCAAAATAATATTCCTATAATCTGTCACACGATGGCTTTTCTTCTCTTTCCTCCATACAGGAATATTGTCTGCAGGCACTGCTCTGTTTGTTTCAGAAAAATATATGGCATGAAACTTCTCACTGAAGGATAAAGTAAATAAACCTGAAGTAGTCACTCCGAAGAGCAGCTGGTCTGCAAGAAGTTTATACTGCTATTCCCAAAATCATAATCCTTTGAGACATGTTGCACAGACAAGGCACATACTGAAAAAGAAAGCAGGTTTATGCTGCAAGTAACTATGAAATGCCTTATGTGTTATACCATATAAAACAAACATGAAGCTTCAATAACTTACTCCTGCTATGAAAATCCCTTGTTAAAGCACAATTCTATTTCTGACATGTAAAGTCATCTTTTATTACTTCCACAGAAAATAGGAGGATTAGTAAAGACCATACAATTTCAGTAACTGAAACAATAGTCTTGATTATACACAATAGCATCTGATTAAAAAATGCGTTGTTTCTTTATTTGAAAAAAAATAGCCACAGAAAAGGAGAAGAAAGAGAACTGGTTCAATTATATATTCTTTCATGTGCAACAAAACCCCTGTGTCCACCAGCTAATAACTACATTAACAGTGCCACAAACAATACAAACACAAAACTAATCTTCCAGCAGGCAACAAGAAAAGCTTGCTTTTGCACAACTTGTACCCAAAATTCAGCTGGCAGTAAATCAAGCTTCCCCATGGCTCAAGGGGAGCATGGTCTGGTCCTGGTGGCAACCGAAGAGATAAACCATCCTTCTTACAGGACTTACTGAAAGCGCATTCTCACTGAGTAAGAACAGCTTAGGGTGTTTATTTTTGTGTAGGCAGATAACTGTCCTTCCATCTTAGCATATTTTCTTCTAGTGAGAACTTAAAGACAAAAGTAAGCTGTAACTTGAACATAACACTTCAGAAAGCTCAGCTCTACAGCTCAAATACAGGGTTTAATCGTGAATCTTTAAGTTTGCAAGCATTGTAGCTTTTAACTTTAATAGATTTCCAACTTGAGTATTAGTCTACATAATTATTCCATATCATGTCAACCTCCAGATGGTAGACCACACAATTCAGCATCTGAGCCACAGATCACTGTGATGTACAGCGTGATGGAGAGTAAGAACTGCAGCCTTATTCCATTACTTTATTCCCTTCTTTAAGCACGTACGCTACTAGCTACTATGGAAAACACTTATCAGGCAAAGTTAAAACAACAGCCTTCCTCCTCTAAACATTAATACTTTCTGATACCCTATGTAAAGCTTTAAAAAGGCAAAGGAAAAAGGCCAGTCTTGCATGATAGGCAAAGCAAAACAACCACCTCCTCTTCATCCTCAGATCTGAAGCCTCTTGAAGTTCCTGTCTGCTTTCATAATTTGCCCCCATCTTTTTCTAATAGGAACACTTTCCCCTCATTCCCAGGAGTTTACAAAAGATGCACAAAGAACCGCAGCTAGACAGCTTTTTCCTATTCCTGCACTAACAGCACAGAAACTGAACCATTTGTGCTTTGAAGTATTTTCTATCAAGGAATCTCACAACTGCATCCAATAATCCCATCACTCAAGCATTGGCCCCACTTCACAGATTGTTGTTCAGCCTAAAACTACCAGCCCTTCTTGCGTTAGTTATCTGCAGTGGTTACTGAAGTGTATCAGAAACAGGAAGAAAAGGTATTCAATAAATACAGCATTTCTTAGCCGCTTTTCAGCTGGCATTAGACATTCAGCAGTAGCAATAAATCCCTGTCTTCACATGCCTGCACTCACTCAGACTCCAAGCTTCTCCACAGCAACAAATTCACTTAAGAAATAAATGGCAAAAGAAAAATTAATCCACAAACGAGAGGAAAAAAAAAAAGCTTTAAAAGTTCCCCAGCGGTTAAGGGCTCCCTACATCGTTCAAAGCCAAAGACTATTATTATTGAGTACTTGGAGACCGCTGGATACCAGAAGACATGCCGGTGTCACGCCGCGGTGCTGCTGAGGAGCCACTCATGGAGGGCGAGAAACACGAGTGGGGAACAGGTCCCCCGAACCTGAGGGTCCCGGGGATGAGCACCGCTTTCCCCGTAGCCCAGTCGGGGCACACGGCACCCGCGACCCTCAAGTTCGAGAGCCTGGTTTCAGACCCAAAACATGGGGGGCTCTGCAACCCCGACCCGAGACCGAGCGGGGGAAGGGGAAGGCACCCCGCTGCTCCGGGGACTGGCGAGGGGCCGAAGCCGGCAGGAGGGCTAGGAACAAAGCTTCTCCCCCGGCTTAGGCGAGAGGGCCCAGGACGGGCAGCTCAGCCCGGGCTGCAGGACAGGGAGCAGCCCCGCCGCTACCCTCACCGCGGCTGTGAGGAGAAAGGCACAGCCGCGCTGAGGGGGCTCCCATGGCGGGATTATCCCCTCAGCGACACACCGTTAATGAGCGGCTGCTCCCCCGCAGCGCCCCTCCCGGCGGAAATCGGACCCCCCGGGGACCGCCACCCCTCCACCGCGGCCCACACACCCACCTGACGCCGCGCTCCGTCCCATCCCGCACCACCACCGCTGCCCGCCCGCTGCAGCCGCCACGGAGCCCCTTCGCGGGCTAAGCCTCCGCGCCCATCACCGCCGCCCCGCCCCTTCGGCATTTAGCCCCGCCCCTCATCTCCCTTCTCCTCCGTGCCAAGAGGGGCGGGGCGGGTGTGAAGAGCCAGCCAATGGGAGCCGGGGCTCTGAGCACACACTGCTGATCGGCGTGAGCAGTAGCCAATGAGCACGGGAGGGGGGCGGGGACAGCAGTCAATCAGTGGCCCCTACCTGCGGTTCGCGAGCGGCCGGCGGCGGGGGGGTAGTTTCTTCCCGCTGACCGGCTGTCCCGGGCTTCCGCCTCCCTCCTCTCTGGCGGAGGGAGCGCTCTAAGCCGTGGAATGCGGGGGTTGCCTTAGCGGCTCCCGGTGCCTGGCCGGCTTGGGGCTGTCTCCGTCCCCAAGATCTACGTGCCTCTCAGGGGCAGCCGCCTCTTGCCGCTCCGCGGGGCTGGCCTCACTGCGCTCTCCCAAAAGCTGCTCAGCAGCCGGGCCCCCTTGGTCGGCAGCGCGGAGGGGCCCCTTTTACCTCAGGGCCGCGCTCCCCCGTCGCACGCAGAGGCGAAGTGCGGGCTGTTGTGGCCCAGCGGCGGGCCCCGGGGAGCCCATGATTCGTATTTCAGCCACGACGGCCGTCTGGCAGATCCCCGCCTTGCGATGCGGCCCGCGCGCTCACCCCTCGCCTCCACGACCCTTTTTCTGCCCGCGAGAGGCCTGCGCCGCGCCTCTGCCCCCATGTCGTGCTACCACACGCGTCTTCCTCCACCACCGCCGCCACCCCTGCCCTTTGCCTGCCTTTGCGACCCACTTCCTACCGAATCCAGCTGCTGGTCATTCCTGCCTATAAAGATGTATATTTACACAACCTAATGCCGGCGGGGTCTGAGGGCTTGGTTCTGGGACGGCGGCGGAGCCTTTGCGCAGAGTGTGCATTGTGAGGGCCGCAGCTGCTGTCCCAGCCCGAACAATGTCCCCTTTCCCGCACTGCCTGAGACTTCATCCTTTGTGGTTATCCCTATAGCGGGACCTTTTGTTGCTCGATGCAAAGCCTTTAGAAAAAATAAGTCGGACTTTATCACAAGAATGAGGTTGAGGGGGGGCAGGCGGGGTAGAACAATCGGCAAAGGAACTTTAATGGCTCAGGGCGCTTCAATAGTCACACTGAAAGTACAGGTTACAGAATGCTGTCTTGAGTCTATCGTCTTTGGCAATCGAAAGTTTACTGAACTCAAACTCAATTGTACCACTGCCTCCAGTCATCCACACTTTGCCTTACAGCAAAGACGTGGACTCCTCCTTTCCACAACAAGTAATATGCAGTATTGCTACTAATATAAGAAAACAAAATCGTATTTAAGTTACCAATACTGTTCATGCTAAGAAGCAGCAGCTGAGAGCCACTGCTGGATTCACTCTGGGTTACACAGCAAAAAGCAGCAAGCCAGCTTTGAAGTGCAGATGGTGACAGTTTTATGATAGCTCGCAAAGAAAACAGGGAAGTCACTAAACAACATAACCCCAAAAGAAGGACGCAGCAGCCTTTTTACTCCGCATAAGGCACACTGAGACAAAATTCGTAAGAGGAAAATAGTATCTTGAGAAAAAGGCATTCTGTATTCAAAAGGAGAGTATTTTCCCTAAAACATGCATGCAGTAAGAAAGAGGAAACTCCTGAGAGACTGTAAGATAAAATGGAGGAAAAACGACCTGACGTTGTTAAAATGCAGCTGCATTCATGCTTACTCAGTGATACTTTTTTCATGCTGAAAATGGGATCTTGAAGATTGAAAAATATTAATTTCATACAGACCTATCACTACCAGTAATTTTATTTTTTTTTCTCCATCAGTACAAGTCAGTCTGAGTGATACAAGGTATTAATTAACATTTATTTTGTTCCAGCTGCTTTCCAGGTTCGTGGATTTGTTCTCAGAGCTCTTTTTCTTCTCCTCTTTATTTCTGGCATTTTTATGCTATTTTTAAAAATATCTACATCTTGTAAAAAAAAGGAACTCAGGCAGATCTTTATTACTGGTGTTTTGATCTTGCTTTCGAATTTGCAAGTAAGGCAAATTTGCCAAACAATTTGAGTTTAATCCATACTGAGTTTTCATTAAGAGACAATAAGAAGGTGGTTGAATTATCTGCAAGGAATAATCAAATCAGTTTTTGTCTGAACCAGAATTATTTTTCAGAAAAGCTACAGGAAAGTTGTTTGAGGGCAGTAGGTACAGGTTGGACTGACACACCAAGACATGTCCAGGATTGATCTTTCTTGTATTAGTTTCACTTGTAGGCAGCATGAGGTTTCAGAGTGTAATGAAAAGGGAGGGGTTATTGGATGCTGAATCCAAGATGGAGTTCCAAGTGGAATTGAGTGTGACTTTTCTTAATATCTGCTTATAATATCACTGACTTAGATCAGATTTCAAAGGATCTCCTTTTCTTGAATATTTAATTTCACAGCACAAAAAGTATAGCATAAGAAGAAGCTATTTTTAAAGTCTGTTACACTGCTTGTTGCTTCCTGCTGCAGAGTGTATTTCATGATACAGAGATCCTTTTGTCTTTCAGGAGACACAAAATTGCTGAATAATGTTAAAATAAGTAATGTTACGCCCATGATTTACAACGCCACTTATAATCATTACAGCATCTCTGATTATTAGTGGGACATTGACAGGCCTATGAAGAGTTTCTTGCTGAATCAGCTTTTGAAATAAATCGCTTTCCCTCCAGCCACAGCAGCACTCCAGAGAAAGGGGAACCATGTCTTGGCTGAGGTAATTGATTTAGGATAGCTATCGGATACAGGCAATGCACAACATAAGATGCTTTATGAATTACTACATCTCTGTTAATGGAGTGTATTTTCCATTAACACAAGACTACTTAGCCTTGATAAGGCTGTGTATGTATTTCTAATACTATTCATATTTTCAATATTATGGGTATTTCCATACTATTAATATTTTTCAGAAATACTTTCGTGAGACTGTTAAATACTTTGCTTCTTTTTTTGGTTTTAATTTGTTTTCCTTTTCATATCCCTATATTGCTGGAATACTGAAAAGACTGGCAAAGTATATGAAACCAAGATGTAAGTAGATCCTCAAAGGAAACATTCAATATAAGTTCAAAGAGGCACTGTGTAATCAATCTTGAGAAAAAAATGCAGGGAGACAAGAACAAAAGGAAGCCTAATAACTTTTCAAGACAGCTACTTTCATCAACTAAACAAGAGTTGTAATTCTGCCAATTAATAGTTAGGCCCATTAACTGTAAGTTATAAAAACTATTTGCTATGCAAAGCACTCATTTTTCTTTGCTGGCTCTGACACTTCGGTAGGGTAGCAGGATATCCTATGAAAGAGGGACTGGTGATCTGTAGCAGGAGTGGACATAATGTATTAATGGTTTTACAGCATTGTCAGTTTATGAAAATAAACACATGGAAGACATGATTTGGAGTTCCTGGAGAGATTAAAAAATGATCTACAGAAAGCTGTAGCTAGTAATAGACTTGATTTAGCAGCTGTACGATGCAGGGCATTGCTAGGACTAATGGGATGAAGGTATAAACAAGAACCATAGGGTAAGTATCTAATCCAAAAGAAGAAAAGGAGAGCTCACAAAGGTAGCTGGCTTTCTGCAGATGGGCTTTGTGAAGTGTTTCAACCTGTGCTATGTCAAATGCTTTCCCATCAGCTAAGGATGAGCTAAATTTTCTTTCTCCTGGCTCAGTTTGTTACAGCTGTAGGATTTTTACAGACCCAGCAGTCCTTTCCTAAACTTCTATGCCTTGTTGTATTATGACCACCAATCGTAACAAAGGTACAATGGGGGGGGGGGGGGGGGGGGGGGGGGACGGGACGCTTTTACTAGGTAAAAATAGGGTCTCCTGGATAAAAATAAAAAGGCAAGGGATAGCAACACGCTGCTTAGTGTCAGAGGATTTATGTAGCTGAGTTCTGTCCCAGGCTGCTTTCTCATTCTACTGAGCCCATAAACAGATATGGATATTGAAAGATTCATGGTAACTGTTTGATTGCTCCTAGACTGATGTCCAGCAGTTAATGGCAGACTTGCTCCATCTGATTTGTCTCTCTCTCTTGTGGTAGCATGGGCAAAGTTTACCAGCACAGACTGAAATCATCCACTTCCCACTGGCTTTCAGCAAGAGAGAAATCTCTCTTCTTGTCCATAGAAGCACATAGAAGAGCGAGCGCATCAGTGCCGTATTCCACTATCATATTTGACTTTAAGTCAGGGGGGACAGTTAGACACAACCAGAGCATGAAGATGAGATATCTGACCATCATGTGGTTTTAACCACTTTCTTAGAAGTCCTATGACAAGTGCACTATTATATCCTGTTGTATGGTAGGAGAGTGACACAAGGCCAGTGAGAACATCTTTCCTTGTTTCTTGCTTCCAAGAAGCATGTTTTCCCCTCTCCAGCTCCTTGACCTCAACTGCTAGACACAGCTGGATCACAAGTTAGGCTTACCCAGTGGGCTTGGCATTTAGTGTCCCAGAGTGGAAGAAGCTGAGAAGTAAATGACTGAGGTAAAGGTAGGAAAAGAAGAAAATTAAATGCATGAACCTCATATAGTTTGGATTAAGTGAAACAGATTTTTATTGAGACCACCTTTCAAATATATATGTAAATTAACTGCAAATAGAAAAGTTCGCACTAAAATTAAATAAGGAGAGTAGTAATAGAGACAGAGAAAATGGGGCCAAAGTGAAATAAAAAATCTTAATGCACCCTCCTGTGCCAAGGCTGATTAAATGAGAGAGATATGGTTATGGACTGACCTATGGTTGATTATTTTAGGTGTTTAATCTAAAGCAGAGAATTCTACAATTTCCTCCTGCATTCTTGCACAGTGCTTATTGCCAGAGAGTTTTTACTAATATCTAATGTAACTCTTCCATAATGTAATTTTAGCACATTTTCATGCTATCCACAGTGGATGTGGAGAACAGATGACAACCTGTGATTAACTGAAAGCTGCTCACGTCTCTCCAGTCATTCATTCAACAAAATAAACCCCTAGCTTTTTCATTCTTGCC